ATCTTTTCTCATACTAAAAGTTGGGTAGGGGTCTTAGACCAATTTTTTCAATATATATATAATTAATTAATTAATTTAATAGTGAGTTGGGTTAGGTTGAAAGTATAACTCTCAAACCCAACCCATTAATATGTCGGATTGAAAATGTTGGCCTCCAACTCAACCGTATGGAATAAAACAACTTTTTCAAACCCTAAAAAAATAGGATTGGACCGAGCGGGTTAAAAAGGCCAACAGGCCAATACCCATTCCTACACTGAACTTGCGCAGCTCCTTGACATATTAAATTGGTTTTTTTAATTTTTAACAAAAGCATATTGAATTTTATAAATAACTTCAATATGCAATGCACACCATATGGTAGTATGTGGGTGTGGTTCCATATGCAACTCTTTTTATGAGTTTATTTACTAGAAATTTGTATTAATTTATATGTTTTTTTGAGATTAGTTACACGAGTTCGTGAAAACTTACATAATTTTTTATTTTTCAATTTTTTTATAAAGTAACTCACGCAAATTTGTGTTAGTTACGTGTTCTTGTGAGATGACTTACGTGAATTCATAAAAACTTATATGATTTTGTGATTTTTAAAACTTTTATGAGTTAATTATGAGAAATTTGTGTTAACTTATGTGTTTTTTGAGATCACTAATGTGAGTTCGTGAAAACTTACGTAATTTTATGTTTTTCAAAATTTTTATGAGATAACTTACACGAATTTGTGTTAGTTATGCATTTTTGTGAGATCACTTATGTGAGTTCATGAAAATTTATGTGATTTTGAAATTTTCAAAAACTTTTTTGAGTTCACTTACGGGGAATGGTGTTAACTTACGTGTTCTGTGATATCACTTACATGATTTTATGATTTTCAAAATTTTTATGAGATAACTTACGCGAATTTGTGTTAATCTATGTATTTTTGTGAAATCACTTACATGAGTTCGTGAGAACTTACGTAATTTTAAAATTTGCAAAGTTTTATGAGCTCACTTATTTGAAATTATATTTATGAAAATTGTTTGAGGGCCTGAAATGGTTGGCTCGAATTTGGCTCGAAAACGTTGTTTTGGGTTTCATTTTTTTTTTCTCTTTTTCTTCCTTTTCTTGCTTTTTTTTTTTTTTTTTTTTTTTTTTTTTTTTCTTCATTTTCCTGTTTTTGAACAGAGACACAGAGGTAAGAGAGAAAAAGGAGAGGAGAAGAGAAGAGAAGAGAAGAGGAAGAGAGAAGGAGAAAAGATTGGGAGAAAAAGGAGGAAGAGAAGAAGACGGTGATGGCGGTGATGGCGGAGGAGGAAGATCGACGGTGATGGTTGGGTATTTTTTTTTTTTTTTTTATTTTTTTTTGTTTTTTTTGTTTTTTTTTAATTTTTT